TTTTTTATTATATAATTAAAGATAAAACTTATTATAATATATTACATATTTATATAATTAATTTAAAAAAAAATTTTAATTATTTATAAAAGTAAATCAAAAGAAAATTTATAGTAAATAAGCAGACAAATTTGCCTGTGAAATCCTACAATCTAAGAGATAATAGATTACGAGATAAAGCTTCTCTTCAATTATAGATTATTGAAATTGGAACAAAATTTTGTATGATATATTTTTTATTATATTTCTCAATCTTTAAAAGTTACTAAACATAATTCCTGATATATATTTTTATGTATGACTTATTTTTTTCGTATGACTTATTATTGAGGAAATTAGAACAAAAATTTTTCGTATGACTTATTATTGAGGAAATTGGGACAAAAATTTTTTCATATGATTTATTTTTGTATGATTTAAAATGAAATTATCTATTTAATGGGCTAGCCAGTGCAGAAACAGTTCCTGATATATTATTTTTGTAAGACTTATTTTTTTATTTATATAGAATTTAGCCAGCTAAAAGATGTAGAAGTTATTCTAGTATAGTAGAAAATCAATATAGATTTTATAAGTGAACAGAGCACACAATGTCAGTGGAGGCAAAGGGACTTCGTCCCAAAACCCTCACAATGACATTGTGTAATGTGATGTTTAAAATTGGCAAAATATGATAATCTTTTAAAAAATGTATAATATATGCAAAATAATGGTATAAGAAATTTGTAAATATTTTTTTATACTAGATGCTAAAAATCATCTTTTTTATATTCAAAGAAATACTGTTTAATTAATATATTGTATATGTAATTTTGATTAAATTTTTATGTCTAATCAGTATATTATATAGGAGGTGATCAGTAGAAAGGAAAAATTCAAATTTTGGTCAAAATTTATATTATTAGATCACTTGGTTGATCTCAATCATATGCACAAATTTAGCTTAATAATAAAAATTAACAAAAATTTTGGATTTCTCCCTTATTTACTGACCACCTCCTATATACATAATTTTACTTGAAATTTTATGTGTTTAACATTAAATTGTAGTTTATAATTTTATTGCAATTTTACTATTTAATCATAATTCAGAAATTAATTAATTATTATATGGGAATGTTGCTAGTAAAATCAAGTCATAAGAAATATTTACCTGATTAGAAGATTTTAATATTTCAAACTGATCGACATTTTAACAAAGCATTTACACTAAGTATATATATAATAAAAATAATTTTAAACTTTATTTTAAAAAAAAATTTTTTTTTAAATATTTATGAATCCCATTCATAAATCAATAAAATTTAATCATCCGTTAATCATAAATAATATTTAGTTTTGTAATTTGTAACAGGAGTAAATATATTTCATAATTTTGTTTATACAAATTTCGAACCATGAAATTCATGAAATTCATAATCTATTAGTCTAATAAGTCTAAAGTTTAGAAAACACAATTTGAAGGAGCATCTATTTCATAACTAAGCAGCATTTGAGCGTATGTTTTCCCTTGTCTATCAATATTTAAAGAACTCGATCCCTCCCCTCCTATTTAGATTTAAAGATTGAAGGATATTTTAAAACTAATAAGAAAATTGATTAATTCAAAATATTAAATAAATCTTACCTAAACATTTAGTTAATACAAAATTTAATCCATTACAACCCGGTAATTCATACCTTTTTACTATACCTTTAAGCTATAATACCTATCGCACAAAAAAAAAAATTAAAAAAAAAATAAAAATAAAATAATTAAAAAAAATATTATTATTATAATCATTCAACATTACATTGATCGATTCAATATATATATTTACCAATATTACAGGTATCTCCTTTATCACCGCTTCTTCCCCATGCTAATCTTATTATAGGAATTTTGATGGTACCACCACTTACATTAACATTATTTTCAAAATTTTCTTCATTTCATTAATTTCATTATCAAAATTTGTAAATAATAAAGGCATTATAATACTATCGTTGTTTGTAGGTCCTTCAAATTGGATGGTTTTTATCACCGCATCATTGCCAGTTTTTAAATAAGCAAAAACAATACCCTTCGGAACAAGACAAGAAAAGTGTACTAGGCATGGTGAAGGATTAGGTCTTCCTGATCCACCTCCTAAAAAAAATAATCTTGGATTATGCTTATATTGAAAAATATATATTTTTGCAAAGTCATTATACCTGTAATTCCGGGAGCCATACAAGTGGCAGCCTAATAAAATAAAGGAACTGGGTTAATAATATAAGAATAGTTTGTTATTCAAGCGATTTTATACATGCCGGAGCAAGTTCCATTCCAAAAAGCCTAAAAGTTTGTGGATTATCATGATGAACTGTAAGATTTAAAACAACTTCTCTCGTATCTTGAGTTCTTGCATGAGGTCTGAAAAGCGGTTTAGCGTGTTAATGGGATGAAAATGTTACTAATAATAAAAACAAATATACACTTACCCATAGGTATGCTCAGCTCCTAACGGTTCAACATTTACATTACGAAAAGTTCCCAACCCAAGTTGGTTTAACATTATGATAGTTTTCGTAATAATTGAAAGTCCAACAACTGATGCCTATAAAGGTAATTAAATTAATTAATTAAATTAATTACTTATAACCGGTCCGGTAATTTAAAAGAACTTACACAATTTCTTCAAAGCATCAATTCCTCCGATAAGTAGAGAATCAGTCATTTATAACCATCCAAATAAATTCCCGATACTTTTAGATATTCAGTAGGAGGTCTCCCTTTAGCCCCCGTAACTAAAA